GCCCTGGAGTTGTTGTGTCTACAGGCGCAAGCACGCCGTCGAGTCCGTTTCAGGACTTCATAACACCTGACGGCGGCTGGAAGACAGCGTGAACCATGGTTTCCATCCGTGACTATGACTCATGCTTGCATCCGTTTGTGGCGAGTAATCTTATGGGTTTGCGGTGTACCGTGCGTCCTTGAGATGGGGCTGCATATTTCCTACCCACAGTTGTGCTCTTCAGATGACCGCTGCATTCCTACCGCCCACATGTGGTAGGAATGTCATGCACAAGTCATGCGGCGACCAAGGCCAAGAAAAGTATAAGTGTCGTGACGTTCATATGTGGCGTTCGTGAGCGTAGTTTCCAGATATAACGACCGTCAATTGGCTCTCAATCAAAGTTGTGCAAGGTGCGATGGCGTAATCAAATCATGACGCATTGACGAGCATACTTATTGTACGGAGAATCGTGCTGTCTAGAGCAGCCTTTTCCACTTCAAAAGCACACCAATAGTTATACGTGAGCTTGTTCATGATATCAGGTACTTCAATATCACCAAATGTGACACATTCACTTTAAGCTTGTTGCAAGCCAACTGCTGTCCAATGATGCAATGGCTTATGCTGACTTACTCCAGACACGAATAACTCAATGATCATGCTTTGATTGACACGACACACAGTATGACCACGGAGGAGGCGGGATTGGTGCGATGTCCTTATGTCTCCTTGCATCTCTGCATGAGCACAGTTGGGCGGCGCGCAATAGTCTGCACAATCTCGCTTGCACCCAATTTAGTAACGAGAGGATTTCAAGCCCAGCCTTAAACTCATACAAATGTGGAGCATTCACTTTAAAACAGCATAGACCAGAAACTGGTTAAACGTGTTGCTAAAATTTGAGTAGCGGTCATTTCGCTGCCGGATAAAAATAAATAACAATGTTACTTTTTGGAATGAGGAACCGTATTCGGATCCAATGATAGCCCAACGTCGGCCATTTAACCGTCGGTCAACCGTCGGTCATTTAATCTTCGGCGCTAAAAATGACGCATACTTACTACCCACCCCATCTTGCATGGCATAGCGAATATATATAGGGTATATATATATATATATATATATATATATATATGTATATTTGCATATACCTGCAATACACATTCTACAGATATTATATACTTATACCTTGCTGAAATGCACTCCTTGGACAGATTAACAACTCCAGGATAGACCCCACCGTTTCAGAGCATGCCGTTACGTCATCCGCCCGCATGATGAGGCCTTGGGTTGTTTTACTAGATGTAGCTGTTAACAGATATTTCTTGACGGCCGTTGGCCAGTGTGCCGTAAAGGATGGTAAACAGCGTAGCATACAGACGAGCATATCAGCTTGCATAAAGAACAGGACGATCAGCGTCAGCGCTTTCGACGATGGCCATATAGGTATTGAAGAGTGACATGGGCATGGTAGTAATTTGTGAGCACAATGTGAGTGGAAACGCCTGAGACACAAGCGTGAAGTCTTTTTAGATCGCATACAATATGAACATTTTGCGTTGCAAAGAGGTTAAACGTGCAGCATGCGCTGTAAATATGCTACACCATAACCAGCGATGCGAAAAGGGCGTAATCATCTTATGCGCCGTCATACATTTCGCAAGCCACTAACCAGGGGCCAATTGGTTGTGCAGGTACTTACATGACATCAACGTCATATCCAAGAATGCATATTCCTGTTCAGTTGAGGGGGGTCCAGCCCACTCCCAAAGTTAGGGTAGAAAGTGGCCAAATCTGGCAGAACTCTGTTTTGGCGCAATTAAGGGCGCTGCACCAATTTTGTCTGCTCAGTCTTTTCAAACTTATTTTCGAAATTACACCCATGCCATGCTCAAGCAGCTGTCATCTCATCATAAAATATTACAGTTAACTGTCTGCAAGGAGCCTGCATCAGGCACCTACGCAGTGAGTTTCTGTTTTTTCTTTGTGCTGAATGTCCCGCACACGCAGCGGCTGCCTCAGCGGCCCTCAGGCGCCTCACGGCGCAGTAGATCCAAACAACACACCGCACTCAACCCGGAACTACCCTGAGACTCTTCCCGATGTCAGTGACCCCAGCACAACCTGAAGTGTTTGCGTTCGAAAAAGCAATTAGTAGCGAAATCCAGCTATCAGCCAAATGTCTTCTGTTATGGGGACATTCATTAGAGCATCACAATATATCAGTTAAGCAATAAATTTGATGTCGCACAATAACATATCATCACGAATCAAGTGGTCATACCTTTTTCCCCATGAATAATAAACATTCAACGAGATTTGGTGTTTGCATCGTGTTTTATGACGTCAGACATCTCCGGGTGACCTTCCAATAGCAGACGCGACTTTATGTGTAAGGGTCTCCTTATTCTCAAAAGGGACAGGGTTGGGAACTTCACAAAAAGAAGAGCAGATTGATCTCCATGCAAATGAGAAACGGCTCTTTTAGTTTGTTACTTTGATAAACCATAACGTGAATTCATCCCCAATTTACAATATTAAAAAATAATTTTTGATGCCAAGGTTACTAGACGGAGGACACCATGATCAAAGCTGTCGAATGGCTGGCAAGGGCTGTCGACAACGGCCATGTTGCGTCGATAACGACGATTGGCCTGAATAAGGCGTTTGACGGCGTTAATCACGTGTTCCTGAGCATGCTGGAATGGTACGGGATATCCTCGTAATGGTTCCTGAGTGGTTGAGGCAGAGGCTGGGACTACATGAGCGATCGGAGGCAGATGGTTAGTGGTGGCTCGGTTACCCTATCCCTCTCCCATGGGGTGACCCAGGGTTCCCTTGCCGGCTCAATCCTGTTCCTCATCTTCAGCAACAAACTATCCAGCTTCCTACACCACGGCCGCGCCTACCATCCCACTCCGACGACACCCAACTCCTTGACTCCGTCACACACGATGTCGTCGGCCAGTCCAACACGGAAGCCCGTGTCGAGGAGTCTGTTCAGTGCCTTCAAGATTCGTTTCAGTCAAACAGCCTTAAAGTGAACCCCAAAGACTGGAGTTCATGCTGATCGGCACCGAACCTTCCTTCACAGAGACCGGCAACATTCACATTATCATCTCTGACACAGAAATTCATCCATCATCTTCAGCGAAGGTCTGGGTGTACTCCTCTACCACCACCTCACCTGGCAACCCCACATCTCCACTCATTCAGCGTTATAATGCAATCCTCGTATACCCGTTCAAAATTGGGCATCACTTCACTCCTGAGCTTCTGAACCTCCTTATCCGAATCCACGTCTCCTCCCACATCCTCTACTGCCTGTCCATCTGGGGTGGAGCGGCCTAGCGCTACCTAGATCGGGTGCAAAATGGTGACGCACTTCGCAGCCAGGCTAGTAAGCGGTGCCCGCCAGCAGGATGCCATTTCATCCATTCTGGAAGCAATTGGCTGGCGCACCATCGCGGATCTTGTGCACCACCGGGTCCGCCTGAACGTGCAAGAGGGCACTTCACGTCTGCGAGTCCCCAGTGCACTGCGTGATCTATTCGTGACGCGCACCGAGCCTCCCTAACTCGAGCTAGCTGTTCCGGGCGATGTTGGCTCGCCACGCCTGCCGCGCGTCCCGACTGACTGACAATCCAGAGACTTTTTCCGTATCGCCGTGGCCACCGCGTGGAACGGACTGCATCCGGCAGCTGTTCGCGCTTCCTGCACGCTGCGCATGCTTACCTGTTTTAAATCGCGGATTGATTGAATGAGACTGTTTTCACTTGTGCCGTATATATATATATATATATATATATATATATATATATATATATATATATATATATATATATATATGTGTGTGTGTGTGTGTATGTGTGTGTGTGTATGTGTGTGTGTGTGTATGTGTGTGTGTGTGTGTGTGTGTGTGTGTGTGTGTGTGTGTGTGTGTGTGTGTGTGTGTGTGTGTGTGTGTGTGTGTGTGTGTGTGTGTGTGTGTGTGTGTGTGTGTGTGTGTGTGTGTGTGTGTGTGTGTGTGTGTGTGTGTGTGTGTGTGTGTGTGTGTTTGTATACTGTGTGTGTGGTTCTTTCTTGTACGATTAGGCGCGAAACAGCCACCACGTGGACGTGGTGTGGACGTGGACGTGGACGCCTTCAATAAAGTAAATGTGGATGTAAACAATTTGCTACGAGCGCGCAAGCGAGCTGGATGTCACGAGCTACTATTGTAAGCCTGCTACACTTTGAACCCGTGTATACTGGGCTCGACGGCACGTTTAGTAGGATAATTAGACGATTACCGTGGTTATTTCGGTCGAACGCGCTGAGTCTGGCCCGTAGCGGGACGCCGTCCCCGCGACATACATGCATTGTGCGAGCCCGTGTGAACCATTCCGTCTCACGGGAATTTCATAGGCCCATGTTACGAGCCTGCATGATACGGTGAAGTGACATGAGAAAAATGAGTTAAGAAATTCTGAGTGGCGATTGTTCAGTCACGATTGGAAGCATAGTTTGGAACGTCCATAGTTCGGTGTCCTCTGATGTGTCACTTCTGCCAAAGCTGTGGTGAGGGAGAGAAAGACCAGCAGCCAAGAATTTCGATCGCCCTCAAACTAACGCAAGCAAATGCGGCCTTCCCTCGTGGAAAAGTACCGCATTGTCTGCCCAAAGTCCCAGCATCACAACCGGCCGTGGTGCCGGGGAAGGGGGAGGGGCAACACGTGGTCGGCTGCTACAATGTTTACGGGCGGCTCACGTGCGCGCGCCGGTGGCGTAAGCGGGCGGTGTAGAGGGCCCGCGAGCCAACGGGCAGACACTGCTCGCGCCGAGCCGCAGGGGAGCAGACCGGGCCGCTGGGCCAGCCACGCCGCGTCGCCGGGGAGCAGACCGGACCGTTGGATCAACCACGCCGAGTCTGCCAGCTCCTGCCGCAGTGCCCACCGACTCAGTCAGCCACGCACCGCCGCGCGCCAGCTGCTGCTCGCCAGTTTCCCACAAGCGACTTGCGCTCCAATCACCTCGCCATGAATGGCGACTCCTGCCAGATCCGCCACACGAAGCCAGCGAACGGGCTGGCCTCGGGCGTGAACGGCGCCCGCCATCAAAGCCCTTCGTCGGAGGCAGGCAATGGGTGCGACGTTCTGAGCAGAGCAGCTTTTCGGAGCGGCGACGTTAAACCGGCCGAGGACGCGCGCAGGGCAGCCGGCGATGCGGCCACGGAGCAGCAGGCAAGCTCGAAGCTAAAGTACGGGTCGGCGGTCCAGAGCGTTGGACAAGAGAGCGACGGTCAGAAGTCGCCGCGGTTCTACCAGCGCGTGCTGCAGTTGGTGGAGCAGCTGCAGCTGGTCGGCAGCTTGCCGGCTCCGGCGCGCGGCGACGGCGGCGCCTCGCGGCCGGTGATTGATTTCCGATCGCCGGCCGAGCTGGCGCAGCTGTTGCCGCTGGTGCTGGGCGCACCGACCAGCGACGACGAGCAGCTGCTGGAGCTGTGCCGGCGCGCGGCGCAGCTATCCGTCCGCACCGGCGACTTCCGCTTCCGCAATCAGCTGTTCGGTGGCACGGACGAGTATGGTCTGGCCGGCGCACTTCTCACCGAGTGTCTCAATACGAGCCAGTACACGTTCGAGGTGGCCCCCGTCTTTACGCTCTGCGAGGCCGAGGTGCTGAGGCATGTTCGTCGACTGATTAGTTGGCCGGACGGCGACGGCATCTTTGCCGCCGGCGGTTCGATGGCCAACCAGTACGGCCTGGCGCTGGCACGCTACCACCGTCACCCGGAGGTGAAGACGCGCGGCCTGTTCGGCCGCCGCCCGATGGTGGTTTTCACCTCTGAGGACGCTCACTACTCGATCCTGAAGGCGGCCCACTGGCACGGCTACGGCTGTGACAATGTGGTGCGCGTTCCGACGGATGGGTGCGGCCGGATGAGGCCCGACGCGCTGGAGGCGGCGGTGGCGCAGGTGCTGGCCGAGGATCGTGAGCCGCTGGTGGTAAACGCCACGTGCGGCACCACCGTGCTCGGCGCCTACGACCCACTGCCGGAGATTGCCGATATCTGCCAGCGGCACGGCCTCTGGCTGCACGTGGACGCGTGCTGGGGCGGCGCGGCGCTGCTCTCGCGCCGCTGGCGCCCACTGCTGGCCGGCCTGGAGCGTGCCGACTCGGTGGCCTGGAACCCGCACAAGATGCTGGGCGCGCCGCTGCAGTGCTCCCTGTTCGTGACGCGCCACGCCGGCCTGCTGCACCGCTGCAACGCCGCCGCTGCCACCTACCTGTTCCAGCAGGACAAGTTCTACGACGTCAGCTTCGACACGGGCGACAAGTCGGTGCAATGCGGTCGTAAGGTGGACGCCTTCAAGCTCTGGCTCATGTGGAAGGCGCACGGCGACGCCGGCCTCGAGCGCATGGTGGACGCGGCGTTCGCGGCGTCCCGTTACTGTGCCGACCAGGTGGCGCTGCGCCCCGGCTTCCGGCCGGTGCTGGCCGAGCCGCAGTGCGCTAACGTCTGTTTCTGGTACGTGCCACCGTCGCTGCGCGGCCAGGAGGAGACGGCCGCGTGGTGGCAGCACCTGTCCCAGGTGGCACCACGCGTCAAGGAGGCCATGGTGCACAAGGGCTCGTTGATGGTCGGTTACCAACCGCTGCCGCACAAGCAGCTGGTCAACTTCTTCCGCCTGGTGTTCACGTGTGTGCCGGAGCCTGGCAAGGCTGAGGTGGACTACGCTCTAGACGAGATCGACAGGCTGGCGGACGAGCTGTAGTGGAGTCTGGTGCAGCGAGAGGAAATTTGGCGCGGGTTGCCCAAACACTGGTCGTGTTGCATCCTTCTTGAAAATAAAGCTAGTTGTTCACATAAGTGCAGAATAAATGTAAGCAGTTGAGTCTCAGTCTGTGCAAAGGGCTGTTTTGAAAAGCAGCACATACCACGGTTTTCTACTTCTGAAGTTGCGTGAAATACCTGCCTGACAAATGACTGAAATACCTGCCCTACAAATGTGTGCCAAAAGCTGAACTGCCTTAAGATGAGTTCTTATAGCTCTAACAAAAATGCATTGATGGCACCCGCGAAAGTAAAATTTGGTACAATTCAAATTCACGTGATGAGATGAACATGGCCTCTGATGGGTCTTGATGATCATCTTAAATGCATGAAAAGATGAAGGTTTCGGAAAAATATTATTATGGCCGTCAACTCAGATGGCTTCCTTTCGTCCTGCAGGACTATCTGACACAAGACATTATTTACAAACTATATGATGATATAGATTTAGATATGATGATACTCTACTGTATCAGCTATCTATATCAGATCCGTCGGGAGTTTCACTGAAACGGCAGAAGGCAAGCCGAAGATCACATTTAGCGGTAGTGTTGCCGACACACATAGTTCTGTGTGAAACCTGTTGCCGAGATTCTACACCGCAGCGAAATGTCACAATGTTGGCGCGCGCCAGTTCTCTGTATGTTCTGCGTCTTCGCTAGGCTTCGCGACAGCCGTGAACGTAAACAGGCATGGCAACGCCTGGTGTCAGGAGGAAAGATAGCGACTGAGCCCAGCACGTGGTGGGTGCATGACGACGCCCGGTGTCAGGACAAAGATAGCGACCGAGCCCAGTAGGTGACGGGTGCATGACGACGCCCGGTGTCAGGAGGAAAGATAGCGACTGAGCCCAGCAGGTGGTGGGTGCATGACGACGCCCGGTGTCAGGAGGAAAGATAGCGACTGAGCCCAGCAGGTGGTGGGTGCATGACGACGCCCGGTGTCAGGAACAAAGATAGCGACTGAGCCCAGCACGTGGTGGGTGCAGCTGGAGGCGGGGTAGCCCGGGCTTACCCGGGCAGTGCGTTCATCTCGGGTCCAGGCATGCGATAAGATACTCACGTTTGAGTACGAGCAACTATTGCTGTTTTTTAATAGTTTCGGCGGTGCATGCCTGTGCTGGGCATGGATGCAGCAAGGGCGCATGGTGCGTTGCGCCACATCCTGGGGGCGTGTCCGCGCTCTCGGTGGTCGGCGGACTTTATCGGACGAACAGCTGCCCCGGGAGAATGGGCCAGCCCCGAAAAGGCTACCTCGGGCGTGGAAACAGTGCTGATGCAGGCCCTACCGCCTGAGGTACTCTAGAGTGGTAGCTGCAAGAGCTGGAGCTCAAGACGCTGGAGACGGTACAGTCGGCCGGGAGTCGAGAGCCCCGGGAGTTCTTTCGTTGCGGAACTGACGTGTTAGAGTCCGGATCACAGTAAGTACTTTACAAAACTGTACCTCCGTAGCCCTACATCTACAGACTATCATAGTTCTACAAGCACCTGAAAATGGCATCGCACAACCAGCTGGAAGCGTTGGCGGCCTTTACAATCCTTGCACAATCATTACCGGCGCAGAACTCGGGCTTCCCATCACAGTCTCAATCAACGGAATCTAGTACGAAATCCACATAATACTGGTGTCGGCAGATGCACGCGATATTTGTGAACACCTCTGTTACCTTCATTTAGCATCATACACAATATAATGAAGATAAAAAGCGATTGGTGGGTGCCAGCGCTGCACCTCACGCCTGTCAGCTGGACAGTTCACTGAACCTGCGTCGCAGCGGGCAGTGTGCGAGGCCTGCGCCAGGCGATCTCGGCCTCTTACCCCAAAGCCGCCGTTCCTCTCGGCAGTTGGAAGCCCTGTGTGATCCTTGGCACGCGTCGCGCCGACGTCCCCAGTCGACCTATAAAGCTGCAGCATGGGCGTCCACAAACAACGAGCCTCCTGGATCGACAGGGCTTTCCAATGATACTTCCATGGACGCCTTAAATGGTAGGTCCTAAGACGAGACGAACAGCGCCTTAAAAGATTGACCATTAACGACGTATTTCAAGCCAGTGAGCTTCTCGCCACACAAACACAAACAACGGTAGCCCACAGCCTTGCACCGTTCTTGATTCACAGCCGCGTTCGGGCATTCGAAACCATCGGTTTCAAAAGGCAAGATGATCCAAGACGTTGCGCAACAGACTTATTACGTTCGTCGCAAGGTGCTGAGCCAAATCACGACAATTACGATTGGCAACAAGTCTAATTGTTTGGTACTGTATGCTGGTTTCAATGTCAAATGAATCTTGGCTGAAAATTCGTGTGAAATCACTGATCTGAGGGTCTTTGCAAAAACACTGTGTCACCACTGATCTGCCACGTTAGCACACATATAGTTTAGTTGGTAGCATATGTCTGTCACCTGCTCAAAGCTGTCCTGATTAAAGCTTCTATGTTTGGCAATATTGTGTGGCTCAACGTGCTCATAGAGCGAAACGTCAATGCTATTGGCATGCTGCTGTACACAAGCTTCTGCCGCGAGCGTTAGCCAGTACGGACCAATATTAAGCTTCGATTGGTGCCTAACTAGGATGGTCTGTTGTAAAATGGTTTGATCTGTTGTAAGTTGTTACCATTTTTACAAATTTGGCACCAAACCTCTCGCGAAGGTTTTCACTTTGTCGCCGATCATGTCCCGTAAATCGGTAGCTTTTTTCATCACCGTGATTTTAATTAGCCCATGGTGTTCCTATGTCAGCGCATTTTGACCTCAAGCGTACCATGCAACTGATCAACTGTCGTTTCTTCTGGCGCAACTTGAAGGTGGCTGCGTGCCTACAGCCGTGGCTGTCTGGAACATGCGCGTGTTGAAAGGCCTCTCTCATCACCGCATCTCATGACTCCCATTGTGAGGGCGTAGGAATTTTACGTGTGGTCGGGGAACCTTTTGCGTAGTGTCACTGCTGTGGCTGCTTTGTTAATTTGGTTGTCCATTTTGGTGTACTCAAGAGCAGTTTGACTGACCAGGGTCCAAACTATGGAGGTGCTCTTTGCAAGTGCCTGTGTGAGGCACTTGCAAAGAGCACTTGCCGCAGATCAGTAAACTGACACGCCTTCGCAGCACCCTCAGACAGGACAAACTGCGCGCTTCAAACGTACACTGCGTGACGCGCTGACATTCTACGCGAGTCAAAACAGATGACTGACACAAGTGAGCAGGAGCTTGTGTATCAGCTTTAAGTTTTTCCGTCATTTAACTACTGGTTACCCGCCATTCGAGCCTGTGTATGGGACCGAGCCTCGTGAGCCCGTCGCCAGTGAGGTGATCGATGATGCTGACCAGATCGCGTGGGGTACGATGATACTGATCAGATCGAGAGCACATGCGAGGTCTCGATCTGAGGCTGTTGACGCATCAGGAGAAGGCTCTGCAGTCGTTGTTGAGAGGCAACGGCGCCCGTCAGGACTGAGAGGTTAGGAGATGTAAAAAGGTGCTGAAAGTGCGTGCAGCGAATCGTGGTTCGACCAGCAAACCATCGAATCGTTGCGATGGCCGTAGGGGTCACCGAGGTCGGTCGCCCGGACTAGGAAATCAAGCGTGGTCGGAATAAGAAGTTTGTTCATGGCAGTAATTTGAAAAAGTGTTTGCATCTGCCGGTGTGATGTGAATGCCGCGTCACATGTATCGATGTGAATGCCCCGTCACATGTATCGATGTGAATGGCGCGTCACATGTATCTCCGTCCCGGTTGAGATGCTGGTGCCGAGCGTCGTGTAGGCGGCGTAAGTGGCGCGCCTGGTGCTGCCGCTGTTGAGCCCGCAGGCCCGCAACGTGCGGGCTTTTGGCGGATATAACTGATAAAGTTGCAGGCAACCGCGCGCTTTTGGCGGGTATTACTGATAAAGTTGCAGGCAACCGCGGGCTTCTGGCGGGTATTACTGATAATAAAGTTGCAGGTAATCGCGGGCTTTTGGCGGGCATTACTGATAAAGTTGCAGGCAATCGCGGGCTTTTGGCGGGTATTACTGATAAAGTTGCAGGTAATCGCGGACTTTTGGCGGGTATTACTGATAATAAAGTTGCAGGTAATCGCGGGCTTTTGGCGGGTAGTACTGACAAAGTTGCAGGCAATCGCGGGCTTTTGGCGGATATTACTGACAAAGTTGCAGGTAATCGCGGACTTTCAGAATAGAAACTATTACAAACTGCTTATTTGCAGCAGAAATGCATAATCAAATATGTATTAGTTGAGCATAGTAACTTCTCATGAAAACAGAAGCTGTGCAAAATATGTGACGGCATAAAAGCAACGTATTTCATGTCCGGGTCTTCCAAAATAACAAGCAAAATCTTTCACAAATAGTCTCCCATGGTACATTCAATAACTTCATCAGGAGGAAAGTATGGCTTGAATACTGTGGTTAGCACACCAGTGGTAAATCACAGCGGCTTGTAAGAAAACTATGCAACATACGTTGAGTGGTTGTAGTCCTCGCAGCTAACAAAAGAGCAGGAGTCATTCTATTGTTATCAAGAAGTAGTCGTAGGCAATTCTAAATACTTGCCATAAACACAATACACATGATAAGAACACAATGCCTGGCATAGCTGATAGAAAGTGTTTTGGCCATGTTCAAACATCAAACGCCACCCAACAGGTCCTGCTTCGATTGAATGGAAAGAATACCCTTGCACAAAGCGCATGCCCATGGCCGCCAAATCCAAAACATCTTATCACCAAACCAGTCATGTGTAACTCAGAGCTTAGCCGCGGACTGTGTAACTCAGACCATAGCTGCAGACTGTGTAACTCAGATCTTAGCTGCAGACTGTGGAACCTAGATAAAGCGATCATGTCTGCTGAATGCATGTGAAGTCTTATAGATTCGTCCACGGTTCGTTCAGCCACCAGGACTACATGTTCGTTTAGCGCACCATGCCGCAGCATCGAACGGCGATTGCGGCGCACATACGTTAGCCTCGGCACGGCCAAGGGCTCAGCCAAGGCTGGTCGATGTTGTCAGCTGTTCACTAAACTTAAACAAGCCTCTCTACATCGATGCAAGGCGTCGATGCAGT